TACTGATGAGCAGACAAGGTAGAAACATTCCCATATATATATATATATACTGTACGCACAATGTGGTTGACTCGAGTCGCTTGCCCAGGTCACCTTACGCATCTTCGCTGCATGTTCAAACCGCATTGGTGTTTCTGTAACGTATTCTCACTGAACACAGCTACTTTTGAAGGCATCCATCAATGGTAGTCTTCATCAATTCTTGTCTTTTCAACGAATTGCAGAGCCTGAAGGCAGGGTTTGAGCCGGTCACGCATCAGGTTACTACTTTACTGGATTCTTTTCGTGGCTTGGTCTGAAATTGTTTCATGCTCGCTTGACAAATCGCCTGAGTCTCCATGCTGGATATATAGAGCTCACTCAGTGAGACTGTGAGACTTTTGCCTTTGATGTCAGGTGTCATGATACTGAGATTTCGCATCGCTTTCATCACTACTATTTTGTGCAGTTCTCAGTTGGTTCTTTTGGCAGCTTGGAGTGTGAGCAGGATGAATGACTCTGCAAAATCCATTATGACCTCTAGTTTCCGGAACTAAGTCACTCGGGTAGAAACTAAGTCACTGGGACTGCTCATCCTTGGCAGGAACGGCCCGGTTCGGGTGCGGGGGAACCGGCCCCTAGGAGGACGCTGAAGAGCGACAAGCAAAGCCAGCCCCAACACCACCACCTATGCACTATGCTCACCTCTTGGTTCTTGCAAAATTCTGTCAGATGCCCAAGGTGCTCTATATGCTCAGACACTTGACTGCAGCGGGAAGCAGGAATCGTTGGTTGAGAGACTGCCGTTTTGTGGGCTCTCCACGCCCCGACGCCGTTGCTTCGTCGCATCCTCAGGCTCTGGACGTGCACTGCGACGCCGTTGGTTCAATGGGCAGGCCCGAGGGCGTCGGACGCGGCGGAACGGGGATCGCCGTTTCGGAACGGGGTCGAGAACCAAGGCGGGCTGCGATGGATCTCTTCCGGACGGTGTCTTGCAACAAAGTCGCCTTGCGATGTCATTCGAGTCTGCCTTTGTTGGCACAATCATTGTAGATAGTCCTGGCTTTTGACGCCCAGGACTTACAAAGAGATACACGAAAGTAGGTGAAGAAGACGCGGGTGGCAGACTTGCTGTTCTCCTCTCCAGGTATCCTTTTGTCGGAACTGGCCTCCTGAAATGCATTGTCAGAGCAAAAGGCTTTTCATTGGTTGCCTTCAGGAGTGCTGTCATGTTGCAGACAGAGACAGGAGATGTTCAGAAGGCGGAGAGTTGAGCTGCACCGACAGTCTTTGTTTCTTGTGGTGAGCAGTAGTGCCTGAATTGCCACGTCTCATCTCACAGGCGAACATGTTTGTGGTACTTATTATTGTTTCGTAGAAAATCAGAGGTTCACGCTTGGTATACAACTAGGTTGCCATGGTTTTCTCACCGTTGATTTTCCATGAACGGGACACGGCAAGGGGCACAACGGGGACACGCTCTGTTTCTTTTTTCCTGTAAACACCTCGTCTGTCCAGGTCCAACATATCGGCGAGAAAGACAAAGCGATTCCAGTGCAGGTGAAATTGATTTTTTTGCTTATCAATAAGAATGATTTGATGTCTGAAACATTCTGATTTGATGAGTTTGTTTGATGAGTTATCCCTTTTTTTACTATCTTTTTTTTCCCGAAGTCTCATCTCATTGTCACTTGATCGCAATTGGTCGCCCCCCTGCAGCTGACACCTGAGACGCCTGAGGGTGAGAAGGCCTGAGGGTGAGAAGGCCATTTTCAGAGAAAGGGTTGAGCTTTCAAGAGCATCAACTCTCTTCCAGGTCAATTCCTTTCACGGGTGATTTGCCGAGTCTGAGAAAAAGACAGTTCTTTGATTTCTCTGAACTGATGGATGGATTTGTCTCTCAGCCCCATGCGCCAGGATGCTTCGCACGAAGGTCATGCAGAAACTGGCAGGCAACAGAAAGGTGTGCACAGTTTTGAGAAAAGCCTACTGATTGCTGGAAGCAACTTGGTAGAATTTCGCGATGGACATGAACAAAGGCAGGAACCGAAGGCAGATACAGTAGCGAAGTGGAAGCCCTAATGATGTGGTCACGCTTCTATCTACCTGATAAACGCATGTAGATTCCAGCTGTCTGATGCTAAGCTGTGAGTGACACGGACTTTTCGATCCAACATTCCCATCAATTCTTGTCTATTTAGATAGACTTAGTAAGAGCAAGCGTTGCTAGTTCAACACATACACACACACACACCTGCTGCCATGTCAAGGTATTGTGACCCTTTTGTCTATCCTTGCAGTCATTGCTTATGTTCCTTGGCTGAAACCTGGGTGAATCTTCATCAGATTGATTTTTTTGACATTGAACACTTTGATGAGATTCTCTTATCATGCAGATATATAGACTATAGCGCAACAATACGGCTTTATTGTCTTATCAGTGTGGCGTAGAGCATCATCATCACCCATCTTTTAGAGTGCTGGATTCTAGCATTGGTCTGCGGTATCCGTGCAGCTGGTTACCCAAACTGATAAATTGCTGAAGACGAGAAGACATGCAGACACGTCATCCGGATATTTGCACCAGCAGTGGTCATTCAATGTATATAAGACGTTCAATAGTCATCCCCACTGACCGTCGACTGTCCGTTCTGCTTTTCAGGCGTTTACCAGAAACTGAGCACTGAAAAGCGTCTCTCATCCAGGATTCATTTTTACAGCAAGCTTTGGCACTCACAGAGTGAGATCTGAAGGCGTCTCTGCCGAAGGCGTCCAGCAGACTGTATCGCGTTAGAGTGAGTTTGATCGAAGGCTCTGCTGTGACAAGACAGGGCCCTTTGAAAAGCCTCGGTCTTTGTTCTTAGGCCTGTTTCTGGCCTGTGGAAGCTGCAAGAACACAAGTTTCAACATTTGAGAATACCCACAAAGGACAGTGCTCAACCCCATAAACTTGTTGTTTCGCTTTAGAGACACTTTGTGCAGTAAAGATACTTTTGCGGAGATGTTTGGTGTGGATTGCACAGCTTAATAATATTAGGAGTTGCTGTTGATTACTGCCAAGAGCTCTTTGTTGTCCACGTTTTTGTCAACTTACAGTCAGTCCTTTCCTTTGCTTTGAATGCCTCGTGGGAGTTTTGACTGGATCCATTGTGCAAGGAACTTGTCCGGCCCATAACTAGGAAGGATTGGCCAAGATCATATATATGTATATACATATACCCCCCCCTTCCCGACCGACAATTTTTGGATGTGAAGGGGTGAACACATATCTCATTTGATGAGTCAGAGGATACCCATCCATGCATCTCCTTGAGGTTCCTTTAAAGCGCTTTAAAGCAACCTCAAAAGCAAGAAGCAAGACGCAAGATTGCAGAGCATTGAGGGACATCAATCTTGCTCTACCATACCTGAGGATCTTTTGCATGTTGAGTGCTTTAAGGCGCTTTAAAGCACAGCAAGAGCAAGAAGCAAGAAACAAGGTTGCAGATCATCAAGGGATATCAATCTTCGTTTTGGTGCTCTATGCTAAAGCAAGGTTGATGTCCCTTAATGCTGTGCAATCTTGCTTCTCACTTCTTGCTGTTTGGTGTGCTTTATAGTGCTTTAAGGCAACTACATCCATTGGTTTTCTTTAGTGATGTTAATTTCTTTTTGCACCTGTTTGAGAGTGCATTTTTTTTTTTGTTTAACCATCTGAGGACCGTCTGGTATTTTTACTTCTTTGTTCACTCTTTTGTGTATTTCAGTATTTTCAGAAGAAAAGAGCACTGTTGAATTTGATGAAGACACGTTATGCTGTAGATCAGAAGATGTAAGCAATATTACCACCACAATAAGGATAAATACATTGAAGTTCGAAGAAAGATATGAATAAGACGATGAATATAGGGAAAGAATGGACGGTAAACATCATTACTGTACCTGTTCTGCTTGTATTTGCTTATATGAGCCAAGGGCACTATCAAGTGCATCTCAAATCAAAAAAGCATAACAGAAACCTGAGCACAATCTAGTTTTAATGATTCATGGCATACTTCTACTGAAAAAAAATCAAGCAGTGATGAGTTGTGAGACTGCTATACTCTATTTTGTGAAAAAAACGCAACGCTTGGCTGTGATAAGTTGATATGATACAACAATACTGTTTTACCTATTTGTTCACCCGCTTTGAGAGTGGATGTCAGCAAGGTCAACAAGTATTGAGATTGGAGGTGTTGGAGACCACATCTCCCGATGGATGATGGTTGGTGGGATTCTGTGTTGACCATGAGAGTTTGAACCATGAGACCCATGAGAGCTTGGCATATTGGCCCAAGTTTGGTGAGCGCCATGCTAATTGGAAGCTTGCATTTGAGAGCACGGAGGAGGATTGGGCAATGGCGGCTCTAGGTGGTGAGAACGATCAAGATGAGATCATGAAGACACCAGCATCCAGAAAGATGAAGACACCAGCACCAGCTGGAATGGTTTCATGCAGATGGCATGGGAAAAGGATGGATCAAACGTCAGTTTCACCATGGATATGTTTCACTATAGTAGGAAGATATTCGATTCTAACTGAAGCGAAAGTATCTATAGATCTATTAGCACACCATATTCATAATTTTCTGGGGGCACATGGGCTTGATTAATCGGGAGTGGTTTCTGCCAAGTTAGAGGGAGGCCAATGTGGAATCTGGAATGTAGGTGTTGAATTAGTTTAGTAGTATTAGGGGCTCGAGATGGGCGTTGTGGGAGGTTACTTACCCCGATGTTAACGTTATACCAAAGAGAACCAGGAAATCTCACGAAGAGCAACCACTGGCCTGACTTCAATCCATTGTAGCATATTCTGTGCTTCAGCCAGACCACTTGGTCCACCTGTTTTCCTAAGATCTCGTTGAACGTCGCACACATCTTGATGATGATTTGTTGGAGGCAAAACCTTGTTCATTGAATGGGTTCAACGCCTTGCCCTTCATATGCAGGCAATTGAACATAAACATTCTACGACCTCCAGAGAGCGACAAACTTCCGCAAAGCGCAACATCGAATCCTTCTGGATCTGCATCCTTGCGAAGATGCGGAGCTTTCGCTTCATCATTTACCTGCTCGGATTGTCTTTATCTACATATTTAAATAGAAATGTGATGCGTGTGTGTTGCCTCTCAGGTGATGTTGTGCTGGCATGTATTTGTCACCGATAATAAGTTGCTTGCCATTTGAAGAATGGACAGTTCTTGCACTCCACATGAGCTAATGGTTGGCAGAGTTCTATTTGCCCGAGCAGACTGGCAAACGCTGGAAGCAACATTCCATGACCTGCTTCGAAGGAAAATGGCTTAAACATTGCTTCGGGGATTTGTTTGTCGTTTCTTGCTGCTGTGTTTATAGAATTCTGCACACTTCGAAAAACGAGAGTTGTGTACATGTGCAGTATACCTTCTCAGATACCAGAAGCATGCACATGCAAGCTGCAGCCAAACACCTTCGATTGGTACAACTGGTGTGAATCGTTCTGAATAATTTGCTTGAAGGCCGCACAGAGTCAGGCTACACAGCAATGTAAACCACACGGATTTGCTTATCCTTGTTCTTTGCTGCGGATGGCTGCCTACAAAGACCACGAAAGCCTGACAGAGTCCACCGATGAGATACTTGCTTGAATTCCAGAAAACATGTCCGTGAATTCCCCCCAAGCGGGTCCTGTGAGTTTTTTTTCGGGGTTGACCAAGGTCGGTGGGGCGATCCTTGGAAAATCCTAGGGCTGTTTGTGGCAACAAGATCCTCTAAGGATCTCTCACAGTGGGATGTCACCAGCGCGGAGTGATATACTGAAGCCGCTTCACCGGAAACTGGATGCGATTTTGGCTTTGCTGGAGAGGCTGGGTATGGCTGGGTGGGCGGCCATGCAAATCGGACTTTAGGCAGCTGGTTTCGGGCCACAGTTTTTGCTCAGAAGCCAGCTGTTCAGGCCAGCTGTTTCGGGTCAAGAGTCGGTACTGGGAATCCATTGATGCTGATGACATATGTATACAGTAGAGTAGACATATTTCATAGGTTCTTGTGCGAGCGAAGTGAGTAAAGGGCGTGTGTGGGGGGGGGTGGTTGCCAGATGGGCACGTTTGGAGAGGCTGACCCAGAGCCTGGTGGGGGAGAGCGAAAAAAAGAGATGGCCAGGAGGTAGTGAAAATGAGTAGTTTTTCAGAACACGTTACCACCAGCGTGCGCTCAAACTGTCAATATTTCACTGTATTCTTGCATATCTAGTAGAGTAGTGCAAAAACACTATTTCAGTGAGTGTATAATACTAAATGCTTCAGTGTCTTCAGTGTCACATAACCAAAAAACCAAAAAGCCCAAAAAACCAAAAAAACAAAAAAACTAAAAAAAGCAAAAAAACAAAAAAGCCAAAAAAAACAAAAAACCAACCCAACCAACCCAAGACCCTCTGCAATCCATGAGTCTTTTTTTTTT